TGTGGTGATGGACTGGATATGTAGAGTGCGAGGGAGGAGTCAAAGACGACACTGAGATTGTGAGCCCAGGTGTCTGGGGCAATGGTGTGCCTTTGACAGTGATAGTCTCAAATTCAGTATAACAGATCTACAGTGGACCATATTCAAAGAAGTCTAGAAGAATCTCACAAAACCAAGTCTCACAACCAACTCTGAAACACTTAAGAACTCTGATCATTACAATAACCAACCAAGATTCCAGGGGACTCATGATGAAATAGCCTATCCACCTCCTGACAGAGAGGTGATGGACTCAGAGTACGATCAAAACATGTTTTGGACATGGTACATTCAGGAATTTGTCCAGTTTGAATAAACATGTTTGGAACCTGGGGTTTTGTTTTTCTTACTTTCTCAAGAAGGGGAGGGATAGGGAAGAAGGGAAGGAGCAAAAGTAGATCCTAATTTTTTAAAAAATTTCAACAGTAACAGTTCTTGGTATGGACCATAAAAACCTAAGTCAGAGCAAAATTCCAGTGTGTATCAGAGGCCCAAATCTTTACATAAAAACTTGAATATATGTGTATGTGTACCACATGTGTGTATACCTGCATATAAATCTAAAATGTATTTACACATTAATCACAAGGAATGGGTCTATAAAATAGCAAAATACCACAACTGTGATATCCCCTGCCTACACTTTTATCACTTACTCTTTTCATTAGAAAATGACATGTAGTACTAGGAGGAAATCTCCCTTGCTATCTTTTCCATTTCTTTTTTCTTAGTGGTTTGACTCTTCTCCCCTGTTGTAATATGTTCATATCATTTTAAGAAGTAGATAAGGAGTATTCATGAGGATAAGGTCAAGTACTTTAAAACTAGCCTAGTGCCAAGTAGAAAGTACATGAGTATAGATAGGCTTTATGAATACAGGCAGCATCCAAATGACAAATGGACTGTATTCCGAAAGTTCACTTTAAAGCTACCTTATTGTAATTTTAGATTTGAAATAATGTTATATATGTTTGTTAGGTCCTCAACCTAGCCTAAAACAGCTAATTTAACCCCATAAGGGAGATGGAATACTATATATTTGCAATGAAAAAATAGTTGAAAATAACATTACCATAATAGTTAAAAGATCATAAAAAAGATAGAATAAAATGGGCTTTTTATTCACACTGAATGCTGATGCCTCAGAAAGTGGTGAAGGTTTCACCAGAGATGAAGAAGTAGATGAAGATGTTGAATAAGAGTCATCGGGCCTTTTAAAGTCGAAGTGAATGGTGATGGTTCTTTTTTAGTTTAATTTCCTTTCAGACTTAGGGCTTTTCCTTCCCATGATAAAGATGTGTCACTAACATTACTTTTCAGTCATGGAACAAACAGAGTGAGAGTCAGCCTGGCATAAAAGAAAGAACTCTGGAATTGAAGTAAGAGGACCTGGAATAAACTCCAGGCTCTGCTCTTTAATAGCTGTGTGACCTTGGGCAAATCACTTACACTGAGCCTCTCAACTATAAAAATGAAGGGTTTTGGATGATATAAACTCTAGGTTCCTTCAGCACTAATACCAAAGAGGTGGTCCTGCCTTTACTAGGCAAAAGTAGTATGACAGAAGGAGCAAGTGTATTGAAGGAGATGTGTATACTTCTGGGAAATTAAGTCAAAGATAAAAGGGGAGTATTAGAGAAGGCGTTTGATTGCAGAGGATAGAAAGGAAACTTGTGACAGACAGTTCTTTGCAATTGTCCAGTACATGAGGGGAAAAGAGGATGTGTGTGCAAAAGAAAGTCAGTAACGGGCCTGATCATGCACGGTAATACAATCCTGAAACCAATGTTCTTCATAGCTCAGGGAGTTGCTTTAATTATTAGTTTGTTCACAATCCTAGATCACAGACAAGCAACCTTTTAAAAAATTGTTTTGTTTACAAAGAATTATGAGATAATGGTTTTCTGAAGATTTTTACTCTTTTATACTATGGTTCAAAGCATTTTTATTCAATTTAATAAAGAAAGGGGCTGAACCTGTGATTTCACTGGTATATGAACCCCTTAATGAGGAAACTCCCTTTATCAACGTAGGTCAGCATCTTCTCTGCAACTAATGGTCTTAGAGAATTGCCTAGAGCACTAAGAGGTTAAAGGATTTGCTTACCATCATACAGCCTACAAAAATATTAGAGATAGGCTATCTCTAACCTTGCTCTTCCTGGCTTAAGGCTGTGTCTCCACTCCACTGCACTGTCTCTTTATTCAATTAATAAACATGCATTAGGCGCCTAGTGAGAGGCAGCAAGATGCAGTGGAGAGAGGGCAAACCTTGGGGCAGGAAAGACACAGATTTACAAGCCAATCCCTGAAACCTACTGGCTGTGTGACCCTGGGAAAGTCATTGAACTTTTCAGTACTGCAAGCAACTCTTTTAAGACTCTAAGTTACCAATGAGCTGTTGATTTGCACTGGTAGAGAGAACATATATGCTAGAAGTTCCCCACAGGGATGAATTCACAGGTCCACACCCAAACAAAACAAAAAAGCATTTAGTATAAGTAAAATATTCTGTTAGGTGGGTGAGACACAAAGTTTAGATAACATATCTAAAAGAAGGTTCAGATACATAAATTATCATTGATATTTACAATAATCTTTTAAAAGACAAGAAAGCCATTAGAAACATAAAGAACATTTGTAATATCATTGCATTAAAAAGTTCCTATGCAGCTCATTTTAAAAATCTAAAGAATAAACCTGCTTTGCAGTACTGTGGTATAAGAATCCATGATTTGGGACACATTTAGTTTATTTTTAAAAGATTTTCATGAAGCAATAAAACAAAACCACTGGGGTTGGGGGAAGAGAATTTTGTTATACTGCATTCCATCCCTGTCTTCTCTAAGCACACACATTGTATATCACAGAAAAGGTTGGCAAATCCCTTTACACAAGATAAAAAAGTTCTGCTAGTGTCACACAATGTCCATCATACACAGTGCATCTGAAAATTCTGAGAAGATTAATTTTTATTTTTCTTTATATGCCGATCTTATCCAAACTTTTGTTACTTCTTACACTTTTATATAAATAAAACACTAGACCCAAGAATCCTATGTAATTCAATAACTACCCGAAAAAATACTATATGTGGGGTGGGAAAATAACACCTCTTTCCTGGTTCACCCCTCAAAGAACTTCAGCACCTAATAATGGTGGATTTGTATTTATAAGTTTTACATCACTGCACTATTTTCAGAAATATTTTTTAAGTTTAAAATAATGCAGCTCAGAATATGAACACTCATTTCCTCCTCCTCTAGTTGGGTTCTTGCTCAATTTACTTTCCTACAACAACAACAAAATTCACAAAAAGTAATGTGCCCAGGATAAAGAAAATCCATTCCTGCTTGCCACTCAGAATTCTGCAGTGTAGCATATTATTGCCAACAGAGCTGTCCAAAACACTAAATTTCTATCGAAGATAAAGTTTCCCTAACAGGTGGAGGATACAAATGTTTGGTGATTTCTTCATACTTTGAATTACAAAACTAGATCCCTAAATGATCTTCATTACATTGAGACAAAGTGTATAGACTCCATTATCTACAGAGAATGATAGCACAAAAACTTAGGGCTCCCCAGGATCCACTTTCAAAAAACAATCTTGGGAGTAATAGTAGTAATATTTATAATAGATTAGGGTAACCTGGGCTACATTGTTTACAGCTGTTTGTTTTTTGCCAAAGGGGGGAAGAATATGCCAGATAATAGAGTACATACACTTAACAGCTTTATTTAAAAAAAAAAAAAAAGCCCACTAAGAACACAGGCATAAAATGCTTGAAACTCAGAATACTCCTTTAACTAATATAAGCTAACTGTGAACTAAACCCTCAGTGTATTCATTTCCTACTCTCACTCCTGACTTGCAGGCTAGCTAACATTCTTTCATCTCTCTGGCTGTTAGTTTTCAGCACGGGTCCTGGCGATTGAGCCACAGAATAACTGTTCTGCAATTAAAAACAAAACTCCCACTTTTAAGGGCCCAAGTTTTCTTTGACTCGCGATTTCATCATAAGCACAGCACCGTCGTCACACAAATATTATACTACATCGCTCGGTTTAAAAGCAATGGTAATGAAATGCTCTCACGAACCAATTTTCATTCTTTCTTAATAGATAAACTTCAAAGGGAGGGAGGCTGCCATAGAAGAGGGCGCATGGTCATTTTAAAACAACAACAGCGGCGGCGGTGGGAGCAGCAGGAGCCGCAGGAGCCGCAGCAGCAGCAGCAGCGCTCCACCGCTTCCAGCGGGTCTGGACCCCCCGCAGCGGCGGCAGCAACAGCAGCATCCCCAGGGTCCTCCTCCGCGGCCCCCGCGGCCCCCACAGCCCCGGGATGACGGGCGGCGGCGGGCTCGCCCGCCACTTCTTCCGGAGTCTGCGGGGCTTCACACAAGCCCAGCAGGTGGGATCCCCGGGAGCCACCTCAGCCTTACGTAACGGAGATGTCAGGCACCCAGATTTGGGAGCCTTCCCCTCTCCCTCTCCTTCCCCCTCCCCCACCTCTTCCTCCCAACTCCCTCGCCCCCCGCCCCCACCTGCCCGGACTACACTGAGGAAACAAACAGCCGCGAGCTGCGTAACCGCCCCCCCCAACCCGGGCATCGTCGCCCTCGGTCACCCGTGGGACCAGGGGCCGAACGGCAGCCGCCAGCCCTGTCCGGAGGAGGGAAAGTGGGGCGGCCTGGCTACGAGGAGAGCGCAAAGTGTCTCCGCGCCCGCCGGGTCAGGAGAAGTGGCCCACAAAGACCGACCCCCCGGACCCCCCAGGGGGGATCGGGGCAAGCAGCCCTCTGCCGCCCCCTCCCTCTCCCGCTCGCGGACCCCGGAGCGCGCGGGCGTGCGCAAACACACACACACACACACACACACACACACACACACACACAGCCGTCCCCGGCAGTGACAGCTCCACATGTCACCGTTCCGCCGCTCCAGCACCCCAGCACTCACCGCTCAGGGCTCCGCAGCCACGGCGCCAGTCACTAAGGCAGCAGAGCAGGGGTCCCCTCCTCCCCGGCAGCTGGACACGAGGGGCCCAAGCGAAGCGGCGGCGGCGGCTGCGGCGGCTCCTGGCCAGCTTAGATCATCCCGAGCCCAGCGCTCCGCCCTCCGCGGAACCCCAGCCCGCCAGCCCGTGGCCTGCTGGCTCAGTCAGGCGGGACTCCCCTCCCCTCGCCGCAGCCGCTGCCTCCGCCTCCGCCTCCGCCTCCTCCTCCCTTCGCGGCCGCCGCCGCCGCGGCCGCCGCCATCTTGGCAGTGACGCCACCAGTCGAGCGGGCCAGCGGCCAACCGGCGTCTCCTGACGCGTAGGCAAGGGCGGAGGGAGGCGGGGGAGAGGCCAAGTGGTAGAGGTGTCCGCCGGGTCCCAGAGGCCGCCGGATCCCAGCGGTGGGAAAGGGGGCGGGGCAGAAGCGGCCCAACCCTCCTCACGGCTTTGGTTGTTTGGGAAACCCACAGTCTTAGCCCGCCTGACAGCAAGAGCGCGGGAGAGGCTGCCCCTTCCTGACACAGGGAGAGCTGAGATATTTGGACGAGATGATCTTGGCTTCCCACTCCACGCCCTCAGTCATTCACACTTGCACCTACCTCGGGAGGGCTTGCTCGACTCCTCTTTTGCCTCCTAGCTCTGAGAGGTGATCCGAGGCAAGTCCCTAAGGGGGCACGACTAACCCGGAGGCTGTCGAGGGACAGACAGCTCCTCAGCCTGCGTTTCCTCCTGCTAAGTGCACAGGTGCGCTTGGGAATCCCCTTGGGGCACTCAGTCCCCACAAGGGCGATACCAGTATAAACAGCATCGCAGAATGGGGAATCCAGGGACTTTCTCTGGAAACTACATGGGGAAGGGAGGGAAAGCACCATTAATAGCAGGAGAGTTTGGGGGGGATTTTGTTTTGGTTATTGTTTTGATTTGGAGTTTATGCTGGCTAATTGATTCTGGCTTGTTTCTCCGCTATGATGGACAGAAGGGGGGAAGTACCCACTCCCCTCACCTTCTGTAAGATTCTGAAATTCCTCTCCATCGTTCTTCAACCATGTCAACCTTTCGAGTGTTCTTCCACTGAATTCCAAGCCTCCGCCTATTGCATTCTCTATACTTCAAGCAGCTCATCTTCTAAGACGTGCACACTGAGGTTTTGTCCTGAGTAAATCCATCTCTGACAATTTTTTCCTTGTAGCAGATCACACAAGTAAGCCCAAACTTCAAAACAAAACAAAACGTAACCCCCAGGCTTGTAATCTGTATTTTGTCATAGAAGTGGATATTTGCTGACAGCTTTTTGTCCATGTGTGAAAGCCTAGCTAAAAACAAGTAGACATTTGAAGTCTTTTTCTCCAAGGACAGAGATAAAATTCATCCTTCGGTTTGTAGCAGCACCTGTTGCTATACCCAAGGGGGTTGGCCACTTCTTTTTAAAGAGTAATTTGGGTGTTCAAAATATTGACTAGCAACAAAAATAACACTGTTTCACTCAACTAAGTGTAAACATTTTTTAAAAATCCATTACAGAATTTCATGAGCTGCCATGGCCAAAGAATTGATTACCAAATGAACAGCCTGATGGTGATGATCTTCTCTGCACTAAGGAAGGTCCTCAGAAAGCAAATATATTGTTGCCAGACTGTACTAGAGATCTTTCCAGAGGTAGAAATTACCAGAGTTTGATCTCCATAGGTATCGCCTTTGAGAACCCAGAGTGACTGCCATACCAAGATACAGCGTTGTAGCAACAATTACAATAAATAGGTAATTACATACTTTACAGAATGGAATTCTCTACTTGTATATTTTAATGGATTTTAATGGAAACTATAGCTGTGGGTATTCATTCCAAGCACATTCTCTAGTGATATACTACCCTTGAAGAAGTCACCATGGGGACCTACCCAACATGCCAGGAGCCTTCCTCTAGTTCTCTTGACATTGCCAGAGTGTAAGTGAAGCATACAAGCTGTCCGTTGTTTGTCCCTTTTTCTCGCTATATGGTCACTTTATCACATATCTCTCCTATGATCCTTATACCATTTTCCTTCTGAGATTTTTCTATGATGATGTGTTGTAGTCTATTTGTACTAGCATGAACCTACCCATTGTTCTTTTTAGTGATATTTCCACCATGATATTCCTTCAGAGACTATGATATTCCATGAAAAGATGGGTCTTTATTTCAGAAAGAAGTTTTGGTTCAATAAAACATTATTTCATTTCCCCAAGTCAATATAACCCTCTCTCTTCATCCTGTCCAATTCTTAGACTGGTTCACTGTCTATGTTCAGTGTCTATTCAAGATATATGTATGTATATATGTATACACATAGATATAGATATAGAGAGAGATACATATATCACACACATATATGTATGTTTATGAACTAGTTATTTGGATTATCCCTCCAAATGCATGTCTTAAATGGAACAATCTGCATTATTTATCCACTAGGTTTTTCTTGCATGGAGGCAAACTTTTTTGAGTGAATATGGGTCTCACCTAAGAGCCTGTAATACTGTGGGCTTGATGCAATAAATACATCATTCACAAAAAGGATCATCTATAGGACTATCTAACAGGAGATCCTCTTCCATTTAGACTCTACACTGGACATTATCGAAGACAGAAGCAAACATCTTTGATGACAATACCTCTCTTCAGTTTATGACTTGCCTGATATAATCAAAAGAGTCATTGAAAGAAGTTACCTCCCTTACTATATCTCTGAAGGCATCGTGGATGACTTTAACGTATTCATGGAAGATGTTTTGTTAAAGTCATTAAGGTGATGTTTTGCTCTACTAAACCAAATGCTTTTTTATATGCAATTATACTGAAATATTTCATTTTCTACATGTTTTAGTCAATTGCATGATTGCAAAAAATGAGGTCTACTATGGAATGTAATTTTTAAAAGCATTCTTATCCCCTTTCATCAAAAATGCTCTCAATGGGTATATACAGATGATTTTTATAGACATTTTCATAGAAATGGGAAAGTAAGCACATAGATCAGTGGTTTCTAAAATTCTCTTGGTCATCTTCCCCAAGACTTTGGCATCTTTTCTTTGGATACCTTGGTAATTTATCTCTAGATATCCTCGGAATTATATCACCTTAAGATCAACTTCCTATTCTACTTCAGTTGCCTTTTCTAGCTTTGCTTTCTTTTGTGCTTTCCCTGCTTCCTCGTGATGGTCCTTGCATCAAGGACCTTAGAATGAAGATTTTATGGTTCAACTACCATTAAGTAGAAGGAAAAATATAAAAATCTTTATAATCTTTTGCATTTTTGATCTGTTCATTGTCCATTCCAGTTGTTCACCCTTGGTAAAGAGACCTAGTATTTGTTAGCTGAAAGGGTTTTAAGGCTTTTTATTCTTGTTTCAGGAATTAATTTATGTCTAACTTCCTAAGGAAACCAACAAGAATTTATTGAGCACTTACTAAGTCCCAGGCACTGTGATAATAGTTTAAGTAGACTTTTATTCTTTTCCTGTCTTTCAGCATCACTAGCTTGTTTAAGTCAAGTTGCTTGACTCCACATCCTATTGCCTTCTCATTTTTGTCATTTCCTCCAATGCTTTTGATGTAGATTTTTGTTCTAACAAATTTGTGTTCTAATACAAACAGCTGATTTGGAAATGGCTTACATTGAGAACCATTTGTTTTCCATTAAAATATAATCAATTGCACTTTTTATGATGTTATGTTTTTTGGGGTTTTTTATTTTATTTTTTTGGTGAGGCAATTGGGATTAAGTGATTTGCCCAGGGTCACACAGCTAGTAAATATCAAGTGTCTGAGGCCAGATTTGAACTCAGGTCCTCCTAACTCCAGGGCCTGTACTCTATCCACTGTGCCACCTAGCTGTCTCTGTTATGTTGTTTATGGTGCTCACCATGTCCAGTGCCTCTCAACTCGTCTCAATAAAAAAAAAAGTATTCATGTATATAAGAATGAGACTTTTGTACAGTCCACAACCTTATGACTGCTCATTTCTTATTCCTGAATTATGTTGTCTATCCTATATCTTACCATTCTCTCCTATGCTCATCTTTGCATTGAAGTCACCAATTATTAAAGTTTATATTGAATAAATTTGGAGGGTTTTATTTAGTTCTTCATAGAACTGCTTTATCTCCTTATCCTGTGCAACAGAAGTAGCTGCAATAATAAACTGTAATTGTTTTCATAGTGTGTTTTGTTTTGCAAATGGTTGGTCATAATCTCTGCGCTGGAATTCTACACATTTTTAAATGGTAAAAAGTTTCTAAATAGAAAATACCACCTACCAGAGCAATATTTTATAAAGTATTAGAAAATGGCTGCTAAGTACTTGTAAAGTGCTTTTAATTTAAGCAGCTAAGAGCATTTATCAACTATCTCCTTAGTTCTTCAAACAATCTAGAAATTACCATTTGTGACTTAAGGTAGATAAGTAAGTCAAAGATATATTTATACTATTTTTGTATTCCATGGATCCTTTTGGCAGTCTGATGAAGTGTATGGACACCTCAAAATAAAAAATTTAAATGCATAAAATACATATGATTACAAAAGAAATTAATTATTTTAAACTAATTATGAAAAAATTTAAACACATTCATGGAGCCCCAGGTTAATAAGCCATAAACTATGCCCTCTTTAAATATTATCATCTCCAAGCACATTCAGTACCTTGCATTTAGCTGCTGCTCAATATTTAAGAAATTAATACTTTGCTGACAATGGGGGAAGCACAATCTATACTTAATGTGTTTCCTATCATAAATAGCCTTCAGTAGTAGTGAAGTTATATGTAATAGGAATAGAGATTAAGTCATCAACTCAGTGCTTAAATGACAGAGCAGAAATCTAAAAAGCTTCCTAATTTTGCTCTGAGTTTTAACATTCTTCATGAATAACAAAGTGGCTCCTTCCTAAAGCCAATCCAATTTTGGGGAGGCCCACTTTACCAGTTTAGAATATTCACTGTATTGTATTATAATAATTCTTAGAATTTGATGATACCTAAAGTAGATTAAAGGAAGAGAACTGAAGGGCAAACTGTGGGTTTTGATCTCTAGTGAAACAAATTGATATAACTTGACAATGAAAAGAATTGCACTCAATGATGGATTTGAGACTCAAGTTTCATACAATAAATATGATAGTGAGTCTGGGTATACATCTTAAGGGTGTGTGCATGTGTGTGTGTGTGTGCATGCCAGAGAGAGAGAGAGAGAGAGATCCCTTATATACGAAAATATTCATAGCACTCTATGTGGTAGCATAAAACTGAAAATAAAGTGAATAAAGTGGGTGCCAATCAAATGGGGAATGACTGAACAAATTGTCTGAATGTAATAGAAGATTACTGCAACATAAGAAATGATAGAGATGAGAAATCCAGAGAAGAAAGATATGTAAAGTGATTCCAAGCAAAAAAACAAAAAAAAAAACCCCAACCTGCTAAACCAAGGTAATGATATACAAAATTACTACAATAATATAAATTAAAACAACACTAAAAAGCAGCTGTGCTTAGATTAATTGCAGGGAACAACTTTTGTCCCAAAGAACAGAGGGTGGAACAAACATCCCTCCCCTCAGGAAAGAGGGAGAAGACTGCAGGTACAGAGTGTTACATACACTGTCAGATGTAGTATTGGCTTCATCATTTGGTTTTGCTTAACTATTTTGTTACAAGGGAGGGTTAAACAGTCAGGAAATGAGATATAAAAATAACAAAAAGCATTAATTAAAAATACACCTTCCCCCAGAAAAAGGAGAAAACTGGATCTTAAAAATTCCAATTCAACTAACAGTCTTCTTTCTATTACACCAGGACCTCTATGAATATTGTTACATCTTATTTTAAAACACCACTATTTCATTTCTCCAAGGAAAAAAACCTAATGATAGTGCCTGATACACTATGCTTGATAAATACTTTTTTATTTGTTCATTCATTTTGTAGCACAAGAAAAACAAGATGTTGTAAAGCTTAATCCTCTCCACCTGCTAAATATATACACTTAATAATTATATTAGAAATTTCTCATGTTTGTGAACAATACTTTGGAGTTTCAATATACAACTGACCTTGATCTCTATGCCAGGGGAACTGCCTTATAGATCAGACTAGTTTACACTGAGGTTTTTTTTTAATTACTTTGGTAACTCAACCCCTTGTTACTAGGAACCAAGTCAAGCCCAACTTAACTAAATTTGGTGAATAATGTTACATTTAAATTTCAGTATATTTAATTCCACAAGCTAAAACTGTGATTATTTTTAATAAGGGATAGCTCAATTTCAGATACTACAATAAAGTTTTTTTTAATAAAACATGATCATGGTCTCTTAAGATCACGAGCTGAAAGGGATCTTCAAAATCATCTATCCCTATTTTATTTTACTGATTAGGAAACTGAGGCCCAGAGACATTAAATGACTTATTAAGGCCAGCCACAAAGGCAGTAAGTGGCATAGCTTGAATTTGAAATCCAAATCCTCTGACACTAAATCCAGCATGCTTTCTGTTGAACTGTGTTGCCTCAAACACCTTTAAAAAGGCAAGTCAGAAGCTCCAAATGGATACCTAGCCTAGACATAAAAAGTCACATCATGAATAAATTAGAAGAACAAGGAAATTGAGATCTATGTATAGGGCAGGGGTTGATGACCAAACAAGGGATAGATAGGATCACAGAAAATAAAATGAACAATTTTGATTACATAAAATGTAAAAGGTACTGCACAAACAAAATCAATGTAGCTAAAATTAGATGGGAAATAAGTAACTGGGGGAAAATCTTTGCTGAAGGTTTCTCTGACAAGTGTTTCATTTCTAAGATATATAGGGAAGTGATTAAAATGTGTAAGAATAAAAGCTATTCCCCAATTGATAAATAGTCAAAGGATATGAACAAGCAGTTTCCTAAAGAAGTAATCTAAGGGTAGCTAGGTGGAGCAGTTGATAGAGCACTGGCCCTGGAGTCAGGAAGGCCTGAATTCATGTCCAGCCTCAGACATTTACTAGCTGTGTAAGTCACTTAGCTGGGCAAGTCACTTAGCACTCCCTCCTCCCTCCCCATTGCCTCCAAAAAGAAAAAAAAAGTAATCTAAGCAATCAACACCATGGAAAAAATGCTCCAAATCATTACTAATAAGAAAAGTGCAAATTAAAGCACTCCAAGGTTCCACCTAATACTGATACAATGAGCAAAATTGACAAAAAAGGAAGATGACCAATGTTGGAAGAAAACAGACAAGGAGTTGTGAATTGGTTCGGCCATTCTAAAAAGCAGTTTGGAACTATGCCCCCCAGATCCACTATATTGTGTAGTCCCTTCAACCCAGTTATACCACTATTAGGACTAAACTTCAAGAAGATCAAAGAGAGAGGAAAAGGATCCATATATACAAAAATATTTATAGTTGCTCTTTTTGTGGTAGCAGAGAACTGGAAATAAGGGGGTGTTCATCAGTTAGGGAATGGTTGAATAAATGATGACATAAAAATGGAGTGGCATATGAATTGTATTGTAAGAAATAATGAAAGGGACAGTTTCAGAAAAACCAGAGAAGATGAACTGATACAGAGTAAAGTGAACAGAGTCAAGAGAACAATTTATACCTTAACAACAAAATTGTAAACAAACAACTTAGAAAGACTTAAGAACACTGATCAATGAAATGACAAAACATGATTTAAGAGGACCAATGATGATGCATGCTACCCATCTCCTGACAGAGGTGATAGACTCAGGGTGCAGAATGAGACGTAATATATTTTGGACGTGGCTGAAGTAGGATTTTTTAAAATAATATTTTTCCCAATTACACGTAAAAACAATTTTAATATTCATTTAAAAAATTTTTAGCACCAAATTCTATTTTTCCCTCCCTTACTTCAGCTCTCCCTGATGTGGTAAGCAAATTGATATAGTTTATACATGTGCAATCATGCAAAACATATTTCCATATTAGTTATATTGTGAGAGAAAACATAGACCAAAAAAAAAAAACAAACACACACACACGCAAAATAAAGAAAGTGAAAAATAGTATGCTTTGATCTGCACTCAGACTCCATCAGTTCTTTTTCTGGAGGTGGATAGAATTTTTCAACATTAATCCTTTGGAATTATCTTGGATTGTTGTATTTCTGAGAAGAGCTAAGTTATTTACAATTGATCATCTTACAGTATTACTGTTACTATACACTGTGTACACTGTTTGCCTGGTTCTGTTCACTTCACTTTGCATCAGTTCATGTAAGTCTTTTCAGGTTTTTCTGAAATCATCCTGCTTGTAATTTTTTTTAATAACACAATAGTATTCCATTACAATCATATATCACAACTTGTTCAGCCATTCCCCAATTGGTAGGCATGCCTTCAATTTCCAATTCTTAGCCACCACAAAAAGAGCTACTACAAATATTTTTGTGTAAATAGGTCCTTTGCCCTGCCCCCACCTTTTTAAATATCTTTGGGATAAAGATCTAGTAATGGTATTGCTGGATTAAAGGGTATGCACAGTTTTGTAGCCCTTTGGGAATAGTTCTAAATTGCTCTATAGAGTGATTGGATCCATTTACAACTCCACTAATAATGCATTAGTGGCTCAATTTTCCCATATTCCCTCCAACATTTGTCATTTTCCTTTTCTGTTATATTAGCCAATCTGATAGGTGTGAGGTAGTACCTCAGAGTTGTTTTAATTTGCATT